GTTTCTCTTTCTTATCAACTGCAATTGTACATTTAGATTATGACAGCAGTAAACATACCAGGAGCAACACAGAACTGCTTCCTCCTAAACCCCAGACTCTCTGTTCCATGTAATTACCATTCCTTTATCAACAGATCACATAGTCCTTATGCTGTATGCCAAGCAGTTGTGGGTGAGTGGCTCCCAAACCAAATTTTTCTGCCAAATTATTGACATTTGCTAATCATTTAGTAGTATTTACATGAATAGGTTGTTTGTAAAAATGTATTAAAGTTCTTGATAATTAATCTTGCACATTTAGAGAGAGCCTTTGTGAAAGCATATTCAGCTGGGACACTTCATGGGTGCAAGGTCCAAAGTCAGAGTCCCAGTGAAAGGGAGGAAGCAAAATTCTTGAAATTTTAGCAGGTAAAGTCTCTAGAAAGCTGCAATTATTTTTTCTTATCTTGCAATTAAAATAGTAAGTCTAGGTTATTGCAGTCTCCCATGCGTCTCACCTGTGCATCAGGTGCGTGCGGCTTTCTCTGATTTCGCTGTTGCTTTAAGGAAGAAACAGGCTTGTTAGTGGGTAGACTCTAGACAGACTACCAGTGGGTCTTTCCTGCCATGCCTTTGCTGTTAAATGATTTGTTATTGAGAGGAAAATGGTTGATCCCATTCCCCCTGGAGCCTTCCTTTGAGCGCCCCGACTGTTCTTCCTTCTTGGGGCTCTGCCTCCCCTACAGCCTGCCTAACACCAACCAAAGATGTCGTCGTTTGGGCCGTCAGAATTGGTGTACTGAGCACTTTGGTGCTTGGGCCCATTAAATGTGTGATAGAGGGGATGTTGTTTTGACCTGAGAGTTCCCTACTGCCTTCTTGCCTTACTGATGTGTCTTCCTAATGTGGTGCAGTCCTGTGCCCAGGAGTCTGGCTCCCTACTTGGGCTCTACACTTGCTGTGGGCCCGCCGGTCATTAATCCGTCCTTCGCTTGGTCCTGCCGGATACCAGTCTGTGCCATAGATGTCTGATGTCCACGAAGCTTCTGCTCATAAGTCCCTGGACCTTTGCTGGCCCTGGGTCTTACCAAGAACCTGTTCCTGGGGCAGCCACCAGGTTCCTGCTCGGGGACTGGGTTCCAGATCTGGCCTCTCCAGGCCAGCAGGGGACCTCACTTCCAGTTCCCCCAATGGGTCTTCCGTTGGGCTTTTTATCCCAGTCTCAGGGGTCCAGGCAGCCAATCGGCCCCAGCACACTGTCACAAAGCTTGCCCACACCAATAGCTGGTCCTGGCTCCTTCTGGCCTGTCCATTTTTTTTCTCTTTTTTCTTTTTCTGCTGCAGCATCTCCGCCTGCCACAGTTTCATTTTTGCTGTGCTCCGCTTCTGGCACGGTGTCCCACCGGCTCCACTCCTTGCCCGGCTGAGGTAAGTTTTTTTCACAGTTATGAATACTAAAGATGGTTCCCACTCATAGCTTGATGATGTTTGCACCTGAGGCTTTGTTTCAACGTATTTGTGAGCTAAGTTCCATAAGCAAAGATCTGGCTTTCTCAGTTTTGGAATATCTATATCTGTGGGCTTCTACTTGCATATAAACGCTTTATCAAAACTAATGATGATAAGAAATGGCAGTTACTAGACACTGCTATTGTCTAATTTCAGCAATACAGGCTATACTGTCTCATTAATGTCAAAAGTAGTTGGCCCATACCTTCCTGAATATGTAACAGTTCACCCAAGATATAATCAGGTCAACTTGTATGATTGCATATAAATTATAATAAGAAAGGCTAGTTGCATCAGATTTTCTTCTCAATCTTAAACACTTGAATGAAGCAGGCAATGACACCCATGGGCCCAAATAAAATTACAATCTGCTAAAGTTTATGGATGAATAGACTACAATTCACATTCTAAGTAGTTTGAATAACCTTTATATGTTCAGGATCTGATGTTAAATAGAAAAAAAATTGTGGGGAAAACAGGCCTAAAACATCATAATTTAACTCTCTTTAATTAGCATTTGTATATTTCACAAATCCATTGTACTAACAGCATGAGTAAGAACACCTCCACCCAGTTCTCCATTGCCTGCCGTCTTTGATTTTGTAACATTTCACAGCCACTTTAGAGAGATGTGCAAGATTGCCCAAGATGGAATACAGCATGGAATCAGGCTGTCATCATCAAGAAAAACTAGACTAATTTTTAGAGTGCTGTAGCAGGGACAGGAGGAGTCATCACTGGAGGCTGGGGGAGCCCAGCAGTTCCCTGGGCAGCTGCAGCAGTGGCCCTGCCGGGAAGCTGTGCCCACTGGCTGGGGCTGAGGCCAGGGCCCTTTGGTAGGGTAGGCTGGGAGCCTAACGTGGGCCCCACTCAGGGGTGGGCAGGACTCAATCCCATGCAGAGTGCAGCAGGGGCAGCTGCCCTTTTAATTTATTATAGGTAAACTTAGTAAAAGTGTGACAGGCTAGCTGGCAGTGACCTGGCCCAGGGGTTTTGGAAGGGGAAAAGATGATTGGAGGACTTGGGATTTCTTTTCTGCACCAATCAGGTCCCAGAGACTCACCCCTGCCCCCCCCTCCCCCCCCGTGTCCTGATTGGCCCCTTGGGTCACCTGGAGGGGGATAAAAGGGGCAGCCTGGGCTGACTCAGAGGGAGAGACCAGTGAGGGACAAGGAAGGAGTTTCACAGAGCTGAGCCAGCAGGGCAGGAGCAGTGCCCCAGAAGAGCCTGAAAGAGCAGGACCTGCAGGCAGCAGTGGGACCCTCAGCAGTGTGATGTGCAGCTGGCAGGAGAGGCCCCCCACTGGGCTCCAGGATCCCCAAGGAGAGGCTGCAGCCAGCAGGAGAGGCTCCCCTGCTCCAGGAAGGATCTGAGCAGCAACCTGAGGGGTTCCCAGCCCTGCTTCCAGCTCCTCCAATCAGAAGCCAAGCATCTCAATGTGAGGCTGGGGCTCTGGGACAGTCAAGACCCCAAGCAGACTAGAGCAACGCTACCAGTGGTGGCTGTGTGGCAGTGTTCCTACCAACCATGTGCGAGATCTGAGTTCAAATCCCAGCTGGGGTGACTGAGATAACAAGAAGCAAATCCACTTGCAGTAGAAAGGGGCCGTTGTGTTCTGCTCCTGCTCCAGGTACCAAGGCCCTTTATTTCCTTGTCTTTTGACATTTTGCATTTTGTGCCCTTTGTA